TAAACAACATTCAAAATCTGCCGTATAGATTTGGAGGAAACAAAAAAGCTGATTTTTATGGCGTTTGAGACGTTAAATTTTGCCATAGATTTGATATTTGCCATAGAGTCCTACATATATTTGCTAAAGCTAGATTCCTACATATATTTGCCTTTTTAATTGTTTAGTACATAAATCAATTTCACATATTTTCTGGCATTATATGACTTTAATTTTCAGGACCATGGCCAAACATTAATTGAGAAAAGAACACTGAATGGTGCAAATTTGCCATTTCAGAATTGGCAAATCTGACTTTGTTGTTTTACAAGATATTAAGAATATATTTGGTCAAATAAAGATAATCCCATATGCCCCAACATGTCACTGTTGTCACTACAGCTGATTAAAAGTACATTTCCGATGGGAAATTAAAAAAATTCCCATGGGTATATTAGAAGTTCCATTGGGAAATTTAAAGTTACCATGGGAACATAAAAAAATAGTTTGTCCGCATTGGAAGTAATTTATCCTATGGGCACAATTTATCTTCCCACTGGAAGAATTTTCTTCCCATTGGAATATACATTTTACGATGGGATTTTTTTTTCATTTCGACTGTTTTTCTCCTAGAAAAATGTAATGGAGACTGTGGCCGTCTTTAATTTGTTTTAAACTTTAAACTATTGTCTTCAAAATCCGTGTGTGATTTGGACTTTCCGTTTTTCTAGACATGCAGGCGCGGATCAAGCCATTTTAAAAAGGGTGTCCCGAATCCCCGGAACACTTGTTTGGCTTTATAACTACTAGTATTTTGATCTGAGTGTCACTGATGAGTCTTATGTAAACGAAACGCGCGTCAGGCGTATAAAATTATGATCCTGGTACCTTTGATAACTTTGAAACGTTTATACAATTAAAATAATAATAATAAAAATTAAAGAACCTTAGTGAGCGCGCTCACATTCCCCACGTCCTCACATTGTTATTGGAGAAATAAAATATGTGTAAGAAAAAAAAATTGAATCATAATTTCCTGTCAATATGCACATCTACATAGTATGTCCTTATTATCTACAAAGTTTCATGAAATTATGTTGTGTGGTTTCAGAGGAGTTGCGATGAAAAACTGTTGCAGAAGACATTGAAGCAAATAAGTTCAAAGGGGCGTAACTCCTAGAAAAAATATTGAATCATAATTTCCTGTCGATATGCAGTTCTACATAGTATGACCTTATTATCTTCAAAGGTTTCATGAAATTCTGTTGTGTGGTTTCAGAGGAGTTGTGATGACAAACTGTTGCAGTAGTACATTGAAGCAAATAAGTTCAAAGGGATGTAACTCCTAGAAAAAAAATTGAACCGTAATTTCCTGTCGATATGCACATCTACATAGTATGTCCTTATTATCTTAAAAGGTTTCATGAAATTCTGTTGTGTGGTATCAGAGGAGTTGCGATGACAAACTGTTGCAGTAGTACATTAAAGTAAATAAGTTCAAAGGGGCGTAACTCCTAGAAAAAAAATTGAACCGTAATTTCCTGTCGATATGCACATCTACATAGTATGTCCTTATTATCTAAAAAGGTTTCATGAAATTCTGTTGTGTGGTATCAGAGGAGTTGTGATTACAAACTGTTGCATAGTACATTGAAGCAAATTAGTTCAAAGGGGCGTAACTCCTAGAAAAAAATTGAACCGTAATTTCCTGTCGATATGCACATCTACATAGTATGTCCTTATTATCTAAAAAGGTTTCATGAAATTCTTTTGTGTGGTATCAGAGGAGTTGCGATGACAAACTGTTGCAGTAGTACATTAAAGTAAATAAGTTCAAAGGGGCGTAACTCCTAGAAAAAAAATTGAATCGCAATTTCCTGTCGATATGCACAACTACATAGTATGTCCTTATTATCTAAAAAGGTTTCGTGAAATTCTGTTGTGTGGTTTGAGAGGAGTTGCGATGACAAGAAACAGGACTGACGGACTGACGGACTGACAGACGGACGGACGGGTCAAAAACATTATACCCTCCGCAACTCGTTGCGTGGGGTATAATAAAAATCGTAAAGAAATCGAATTCTAACTAACGGACACCCCACCACTCCCTAGGATCTACCAATGACATATTGCATAAATAAGTCATGAATAAGTCTGGTATCCTTGAATCGTTTAGCCCTTTTTTTTCATTTGAACAACATATATTAATTTTCAGCAGTGGATGTTGTTTCGTATCTTATTTTGCTCATATTTAATACGAAATGAACCATTTCGAAGATATGACAGATAAGGATTTTGATCCAGATAACACGGTTCACTGAACATGGAAATGAGATTATGCGAGCGGACATGGATGACCTGTTGACACGGATACTAAACTGTTTTTAAGTTTAATGTTTAGCTTTTCTCTCTACTTTTGAAATAAACTGTTAGTACAGAGATATGTCTCACCTGTCATGGTAAAACTAAGAAAAAGACAATCTGATAGACAGCAACATTGCTCATTTATTTAGAGTCCTTGGACCATGAACTAGTGTATAGGGCCTCGAAATTGTCAACAGGGTGAGGTGTAAAAGCAGAATATGGCAAAAAACTACACACTTTATTCTTTTGATTTGTAACACGTGACTTTGACCCTTTTTTATTATTAAACAAAACCTCCCTTAGTTGTAAAGTAGAAACATATGAACGTGTTTAAAAACATCATTGGGTGGATATTTTTAAATGTGTTTTGTAATTCCAAGGGAAAAAAAAACAGAAATCTGACTATTTACGTAATGGTAAGGATGAAATCATCATGTTTTTTTAAAAACAATTATTTGGCCGAAAAGTAGGTAAAAGAAAAATTTTTTACATGAAAACTCAACCTCCAATGTGTTTCCCTATAGGTGGATATATCAGGAGCAATCTCTTCTTGCATCCTTATATTTCTATTTTTAATCTGGTCATGCATTTTATGATTTACTGTTATTTTATTTAGCAATTATATAACGGTAACGTACGCTTCCTATTTTCAGACTTTATCTAAAATGTTTCTTTATCTTTTGTCCATTATTCTCTATTCTTTATATTTTAGCACATCATTAATCTTATTCTTTATTTTATTAGTCCATTTTTATCTATTCTTTATAGTTTTCCCCCATCATTCTCTATTCTATAAACCTCCATCCACACCCTCAAGTTTATTAATACACCAAATGTAGCTGACCTATTGTTTATAGTATCTTGGAAACAGAAATATAACCATGAACACTTAACATTGTCAAATGAACCATGAAAACGAGGTCATGGTCAAATGAACCCTACCAGTCGGACATGTACACCTTACAATCATTTCACACAGCAAATATAGCGGTCATACTGCTTATAGTACCGGTATTTGAGAAACATTCCAAACCACAAAACTAAACATTATCCAATGAACCATTAAAGGTCAGAAGGAACCTGCCAGCGGGACATGTGCACTTTATCGGTATTCTTAAAACAAAAATACCTATTGCTTATAGGATCTGAAATTTGGTCGTGACTACATAGCTTTAACCTTGACTACTAGTCCAGGTAATAAGGCCGAGGTCAGGTCAACCTTACCTGACGGACATATAGACGTTTCAAGGAACACTTACACCAAATATTACTCCTAATCAAGTAAGTACTACGTAATTCACTTGATAAATAAATCTTAATCTTTTTAAGTAGTCACTGAATCATGAAAATGAGGTCAAGCACAATTGACAAAGGACAGGCGGAAAATTCGTAACAAAAGGTATCTGCATAGAAATATGAAACTTCTATGTCTTCTTCATGTCTATCTTCTGTAGTTTTTTATGTTGTGTTTTGTGTATAGTACTGTTGTTTGTTTGTCTTTATATTTGTCATTTCAGCAATATTTTGTAACATTGTCATAAAGCGGGAAGTTTGGGTAGCCATAAAACCAGGTTCAATCACACATTTTTGTCTTAAAGATGTCTTGTATCAAATCAGGAATATGGCTGTTGTTATCAATTGAATAGTTCGTATCTATGTACGTTGGCGTGTGTTTTTGTTGCACTTCAGTGTTCCTGTTGTTCCTTTGTTTTCCTCTTATAGTTGATGTGTTTCCCCCTGTTTAAGTTTTAGTTTGTAACCAGGATTTGTTTCCTCTCAATCGATTTATGACATTTGAACACTTATCACTATCATACAATTAACAAACATCAAGTTTCAGACGATTATTACCATCATACAATTAACAAACATCGACTTTCGAACGTTTATCACCATCCTACAATTGATAACATCGACTTTCGAACGTTTTCACCATCTGACATACAATTAAAAAACATCAAGTTGCAAACGTTTATTAACCATCATACAACTAACAAACATTAAGTTTCAAACGTATATCACCATCATATAATTAACAAACATCAAGTTTCGAACGTTTATCACACAGGCACTTGTCTCAAAAATAAATTCCCTATATACCTTAATATTAAGGTATAGGAATTTTTTTTCTAAGACAAGTGCCTGTGGTTTATCACCATCATACATTTAACAAACATTCAGTTTCGAACGATATTCACGATCTCACATACAATTAACAAATACAAATGTATCAAGTTTCGAACGTTTATAACCATCATACAATTATAACAAACAAAGTTTTGAACGTTTTTCACCATCATACAAATTACAAACACCAAGTTTCGAACGTTTATCACCTTCATACAATTAACAAACATGAAGTTTCGAGCATTTATCTCCATCCTACAATTAACACACATCAAGTTTCGAGAAGTTTAGTATAGGTATAAAATAAGGTTTAATCCATCGTTTTTTACCTGTACCAAGTCAGGATTATGACAGTTGACTCGTTTGATGTGTTTGAGCTTTTGATATTGCCATTTGATAATGGAATTTCTTTTTTGAATTTTCCTCAGAGTTCTGTATTTTTGTGATTTTCGTTCTTATCACCATCTACAATTAACAAACATTCAGTTTTCGAACGTTTATCACCATCATAAGCATACAATTTACAAATATCAAGTTTCGAACATTTATTACATTCGTACAATTAGCAAACATCAAGTTTCATACATATAATACATTTGTAAAATTAGCAAACATCAAATTTCAAACGCTTATCATTATCATGTGTTTTTATGTGTCTTTGTAAGTTATAATCTGTAGGAAATCCTTTGCCACAAATACTACAGTGTCGAAGATTTCCAGAATGTTTTTTTCGAATGAGTTTGTAGGTTACTTTTCCTATTAAACTGTTTGCCGCATACATCACATGTATGCATACCATCACCAGTGTGTAATTTCATGTGCATCCTTAGAGTATCTTTACTACACAACCCTTGACCACACACTGCACACTTATAAGGTTTGTCATCATTATGTGTATGAGTTCTTACGGTTCTCTCCAAGGTATGTGTATGAGTTCTTATGTGTCTCTCCAAGGTATGTTTCTGACCAAATCCTTTGCCACATGCTCTGCACGTGTACGGTTTATCTCCATTGTGTGTTCTCATATGTTTTTTTACGTATTTTTCTAATCTGAAACTTTTATCACATAATTGACATTGATAAGGTTTCTCACCCGTATGTAATGTCAAATGTCTCTTTAAATCATCTTTTCGACCATAACTTTTACCACACTTTTCACATTTATAAGGTTTATCATCAGTATGTGTTATCATATGTCTTTTCATCGCTTGATTTTCGCTGAACATTTTACCACACAGATCACATTGATACGGTTTTTCTCCAGTATGTGTTCTCATGTGTGTTTTTAAGAAAAATGAAAACTTAAACCGCTTTTCACAAAACTGGCACTTATGAGGTTTCTCATCGCTGTGTTTTCTCATGTGTTTCTGTAAGTAGTAGGAATCATGAAACCGTTTACCACACATATTACACTGTCTAGCTTTGTGATTTCTTATGTGTTTCTGAAATTGCAATTTATTTTTAAATCCTACACCACACACATCACACAGATAAGATGTGTAATCAGAGTGTGTTTTCATGTGTGACTGAAAGAAATCACTACGATCAAACCCTAAACCACATAAAAAACAATCATAAGGTCTATCAACGTGTGTCCTCATGTGGTCCTGTAGGTGTTGTTTGTCGGTAAACTTTTCACCACACACAGCACATGTGTAAGGTTTGTAAACAATATGTGTTCTTATGGGATTCTGTATGTGTTCAGTAAAGATGGTTATCTTTTCATCACATAAAATATATGTACGAGGTTTATAAACAATGTGTGTCCTCGTGTGGTCCTGTAGGTGTTGTTTGTCGGTAAACTTTTTACCACACACAGTACATGTGTGGGGTTTATTAATAACATGTTTTCTTGTGTGCTCCTGTAAGTGCTCTTTCTTAGTAAACGATTCATTACATACTATGCATGCATGTCGTTTATTAACACTATGTATTCTCATGTGTTCCTGCAAATGATCATTAGTTGTAAACTTTTCACCACACACAGTACATGTGTGAGGTTTATCAACAATATGTGTTCTTGTGTGTTCCTGCAAGTGCTCTTTCTTAGTAAACTTTTCATTACATACAGAACATGTATGAGGCTTATACACAACATGTATTCTCATGTGATTATGTAGGTGCTTTTTCTCAGTAAACTTTTCATGACATACAACACATATGTGAGGTTTATCAACAATATGGACTTTCATGTGTTCTTGAAAAAGATCATTTTCAGTAAACTTTTCCCCACATACAGTACATGTGTGAGTTTTGTTAACAATATGGATTCTCATGTGATTCTGTAAGTGTTCCTTCTCAGTTATCTTTTCATCGCATACAATATGTGTAGGAGGTTTATAAACAATATGTATTTTCATGTGTTTCTGAAAGTGTTCATTAATTGTAAACTTTTCACTACACACAGCACATGTGTAAGGTTTATCAACAATATGTTTTCTCCCGTGTTCTTGTAAGTGCTCTTTTGTAGTAAATCTTTCACCACATACAATACATATATGAGGTTTTTTGACAAAATGTATTCTCATATGATTCTGTAAGAGTTCTTTCTCTGTAAACTTTTCATTACAATGACCACATATATGAGATGTCTGAGGTTTATGAACAATAACTATTTTCATGTCCTTTGTAGGTTTTACCTTGGGCTGAATTTTTCGATACATACTTCAAAATTGTAAGTTTATCACTTATATAAATGTTCATGTGTGCCTCTTATTTGCATTATTTCTTCTTTCTCCACCACAGAAATTACTAATTTATAAGCTTCCCATGCAGTGTCATGAGCATGACATCTCATGGGTGATTGTGTTGAGTCCTCGGTAGTCTAATCAAGAAAAATTCTTGTTGATATTACCTTAGTTATAATAAATAGGTTGTCCAATATCAGACCTTTCGCATTGGTATGTACTTCCATTAATTGAAATAGTTTTAATTATATCATATATATTATCCAATATCAGACCTTTCTAATTGGTTCGTACTTCCATCAAACACTGTTTTGTCAATATTATACTTTTATGTGTCTTTCTTTTCGTATCTATTAATGGACATCTTTCACTGGTCTGTTGTCAATTTGTGGCATCAACCATGGATCTTATTTCATTACATTCAGCAAACTTATAAATAGACTGAAAATATATAAAAGAAAAATATAGAAATAGGACTCAGAATTGCTACAGGTGAAATACCACCAGTCATAGTACATGTATGTCACATCCTGCATAATAGTCATAATAATAGCTCCAATAGAATTTTAAATTGTCTGTCCTTTGCAGATGGCTTTACTAATCATTTAAGTGTAATTTCATGGAAAATGAAAATCCCATTTGTCTGTTATCTTCAGAACACTGCTCATTTACAAGCCCATAAGGAGCAATTTTTGAAGGCCTTGCGCAAATACTAAAAAAAAAAAGATCTTTGTGCAATCAGTTTCTTTGTTGAACTCTAATAAAAAAAAATATGAGCTTACCTTAGAAAAATAATTAAAGGCATGTTTTTACATCTCAAAACTTAAGAATTTTTGTCAGATTGTAAAAAATAAAATGCTCCGCTGGGCGCAGCTTGATACAACCGCAGAGGTTGAACCCGGAACAGTATGGACACAACATTCAAGCTTGATACAGCTCTGAATTTGGATTGTGATTAAATATTTGACACAGCATAGGTTTTTGACACAGAATGAATGTGGTCTAAGAACTTAAAAAAATTTAATTTACCTATTATGGTCCAATATAAGGCCATTTAAATACATCATAAAAGTATTAAAATAGAAAATGACATCATAGTCATGGCTAAATTTAAAAAAAACTTAATCAGCAAAATTTTATAGTGATATCTAAAAATAAAATTCCTTTTCAACCATAACAGCCCATTTAAATACATCATAAAGGTATTAAAATAGAAAATGACATCATAGTCATGGCTAAAAATAAACAAAAAACCTTCATCAGCAACATTTTATATTGGAAAATTTCCAATGGAGTTTATTATACTAAAGTTATTGGCAAATTTCCTATGGAATTTATTAATACTAAAGTTAGAGGCAAATTTCCAATATACATAATTTAAAACCAGTGTAGCTGAGATATTCAAATGAGTTGAATTACAACCCCAATAAATTTGCAACAATAAAAGCCCATTTAAATACATCATAAAAGTATTAAATAAAATGCTCCGCAGGGTGCAGCTTGATACGACCGCAGAGGTCGAACCCTGAACAGTTGGGGCAAGTATGGACACAACATTCAAGCTTGATACAGCTCTGAATTTGGATTGTGATTAAATATTTGACACAGCATAGGTTTCTGACACAGAATGAATGTGGTCTAAGAACTTAAAAATTTGAAATTGGACATTCACCTATTATGGTCCAATATCCAAAATCTAAATACATGGTTAGAATCAGCATATCAAAGAACCCCAAGAATTCAATTTTTGATGAAATCAAACAAAGTTTAATTTTGGACCCTTTTAACCTCAATGTGGACAAAGTTGATAACAGGGCCCAAAAATCAAAAATCTAAATACATGGTTAGATTCAGCATATCAAAGCACCCCATATATTCAATTTTTGTTGAAATCAAACAAAGTTTAATTTTGGACCCCGATTTGGACCAACTTGAAAACTCATAATCAAAAATCTAAATACATGTTTAGATTCAGCATATCAAAGAACCCTAAAAAATCAATTTTTGTTAAAATCAAACTAATTTTAATTTTGGACCCTTTGGACCATAATGTAGACCAATTTGAAAACGGAACCAAAAATTAAGAATCTAAATACACGGTTAGATTCGGCATATCAAAGAACCCCAATAATTCAATTTTTGATGAAATCAAACAAAGTTAAATTTTGGACCCTTTGGACCTCAATGTGGACCAATTTAAAAACGTGGCCCAAAACCAAAAACTTAATACACGGTTAGATTCAGCATATTAAAGAACCCCAAGAATTCAAGAATAAAACCCCATTGAAATTGATCAAGAAATAAGCAATTTATACAAAGTATCTTCTTTTGCACAATACAGTTATACTGTGCAATTGAATATTTCTTGCTATTGCGCAATACTGTACAATTGACAATTTCTTGTTATTGCGCAATATTGTGCTATTGGATATTTCTTGCTATTGCCCAATACTGTGCAATTGAAGATTTCTTGCTATTGCGCAATACTGTGCAATTGAAGATTTCTTGCTATTGTGCAATACTGTGCAATTGAAAATTTCTTGCTATTGCACAATACTTATCATATAATAATTTACACATCCTGGTTGGTGTGTATCTCCTACCATATCATTATTATTTGCTTTTAAATATAAACCAGAAATAACCAACTTAAAATGGAAAATTTTAAAAGAAAAAAAAAAGGAAAAAAAGAAAAAAAAGAGAAACAAAAATCCCCCCCCAAATTTTTTGAACCCCCTTATGATTCATCACCCCTAAACTCAATCCCAGCCTTCCCTTTGTGGTATGGTACCTTGCAGTACAATTTCAGAGAGATCCATACACTTGAACACAAGTTATTGTCTGGAAACTAGAAAAATGCTTATTTTTGGCCCCTTTTTGGCCCCCAATTCCTAAACGTTTCGGGTAATTACCCCCAAACTCAATTCCAGCTTTCCCTTTGTGATATGGAACCTTGTTGTACAATTTCAGAAATATCCAAACACTTACACACAAGTTATTGTCATGAAACTAGAAAAATGCTTGTTTTTTTGCCCCTTTTTTTGCCCCTAATTCCTAAAATTTTGAGGCAATTACCCCCAAAATCAATTACAGCCTTCCATTTGTGATATGGAACCTTGTGGTACAATGTCAGAGAGATCCATACACTAACACACAAGTTATGTATATTTTTCTACTTCTTCAAGTAAATAAAGAATACTTGTACAAGTAGTACCCATGACTGACATGTGAGAGCTCTAACAAGACTGGATTTTTTAAATTACTTATACCAAATTGAAATATTGAAAAAAGCTTGCATTTTTTTTTATAAAGGAGCTGTAATAAAGTGATTTTCTTTGTATACTGATAATAATTTCAATGAATTCATTCATTGAATTTCACACATTGTTTCTGTATTTCTGGACAATGATGCACAATAATGTATTTTGCATGCAGTCAGTTTATTATAATATATATTTAAATAGACAAACATGACAAAGAGAGTGTTAAAAAATCATAAGATGAATATTATGGTTCTAAAACACAGGTAAAATGAATATCAAAATATGACAGGAAAACGTAATATTTGCTTAATACATGTACATATGATAAATAAATGTAACAATTAGATATAGGTTTTAAACATGTGATGCTTTATTGAACAGATATATGGAGGGGTATTTTGAAAAATACAAATATCCATAACATGATATATCTGTTTAATTACACAGAATAGATTTTGATTGAATTTGTCTGTACATGCGAAGGGAAATCATAGTAACCATGGAATTATACATGTACTTATAGTCTTATAATGTTACATGTTAGTGCTATCTTGTTGTAAAGTCATGGTATCTATATGTGTAAACGTCATTGTTATTCCATCATTAAATAATTTTGGCGGGAACAGGCTTGTGAGGTTAAAAAAGGATTATCCAAAATGGCAACTAGCATGGCAGAGAGGGAAATTTGAGGCAAATTCACCGGCAGTGGTGAAAGACCATCAAAACAAGCAAATTCATTTGAAATGAGAAAAAAATATGTTAGAATATGCGAAAAATACATTGGCTAACAATCAATAAAAATGCAGCATACAGAGCGTCTTTTCACCACAGAACACCACAGAATACCACAGAACACTGTGGAATACCAAAGAACACTTAAAATATACCAAAGAACTACACAAATTACAATAAAACTACAAAGATATACAATAGAACATTAATACTATTTTATAAAATGAAAATCTAATGATACAGAATTTTATATCATTTCTTTAATTCAGGTTACACTAATATGAAATGACGATTGACTGGATGAGATAATTATTATCATAACTGTTTTGTTATTTGGCATATTTTTTTTAATTTGGAGACCCTTCAATATGTTGTTTAACAGTAAAACTATATATAAATAAAACATATTTTCTACAAAAAAAAAATTGATCTGACGGATTTTACCAGCGAATATTACGCTACAAATTATATCGATCTGATCAACAGAAAGTGCTTATTTCGCTTTGTTTTTTAATTTCATTGAAATAAGAAATCTGGGAGATAAATGAATATTTTATACGAAAATATATCCTTTAGAACCTATGAATAATATTTACTTGATTGGCAGAAAGAGCCAATACCGGTATTTCTCATATGTAACTATTTTTTCTGTTAAATTAATAAACCTATAAGACAATAATTTTAATTTTTCAACTAAAATGATAATGATCATCAGCTCACATTTTAATCTTTAATCTAATTTATTATAAAAATTGTATTCTTGAAATTAGTTGGCAAAAATTAGAACAGGAAGACTGCTATCAATATTCTATTTTTTTATTGCCACTTGATTAAATAAGTTAATTCAAATAAATGTATTTGATGTCTGAGGTGTGAAAACTTAAATGACATGTTAATTGACTTGTTTGGTAATTACTACAATTGTTAAAATTGTTTAATCTAATTAAATTTTGGTACTTTAATTGTGCCGTACACTTGCTAAGGTCAACAATAATTTTGGACTTAAAAATATAGTTGCCAAATGTAAATGCTACAATACTATACCGCAGGCATGGGGCGAATTACATTGCAATGTAATGCATTATATTACAATTACTTTGACCAAACCATGCATTATATTACAATTACAATTACATGCATTTATCAAAGTAATGCATTATATTACAATTACTTTTGCAAAGTAATGCCTTGAATTACACATTACATTTGAAAATTTTATTAAGTGAATAGAAAAACTGAACATTTTGAAAAACAACTAGAAGTCACAAAAGATTCTAGCATATGCAGAAACTGTTCCATGAATTGAATATAAGTATACATTTAAAAAGTCTATTTAATTCGACTTTTACAATTTTAATTATTTTAACTTAATGTTAATTAACTTTTATAAATATACTTTTTGTTGTTTTTTTTTTTTTTTTTATTTTAAACGAAATAT